AATGTCAAAAAGCACTAAATTTATTAAAGTGCATTTCTGGTAATAAATGGGGAGCTGATAGACAGTCTTTGCTAATGGTATATAAAGCCCTAGTTAGGTCTAAAGTAGATATGGGTCAATCGTGTATGGTTCGGCATCGAGAACAAGTTTGAAAGGTTTGGATGCTGTGCAGAATGCATGTTTGCGTGCGTGTGTTGGAGCCCTGAAATGTACTCGAATCGAGCGTCTTGAGGTGGAGTCAGGAGTACCTCCCCTCCGACTCAGACGCGGCCAGTTAGTCCTGAGCTATGCCGCGAAGGTGGCTCGAGACCCAAGATGTACGAGACCCATAGATCTCTCTACCATCGATACCCTGGTTCATTCAAATATAGCGCCATGGGAAACCCCCAATTTTTCTATCATGGAAGCCTGGCTTCCATCAGCCAAGGCCATGGCGCCGGAGGTGGAGGTACGCCAGAGGTTGAGAGAGATCCTTATTAAACATCTAAACTTCATATATATACCGACGGCTCCAAAACAGATGAGTGTGTGGGTGCGGGTGTATGGTCGACTGAATGTGAACTAAAGTTCAGACTGCCGAATCATACATCGATCTTTCTTGCTGAACTTTTTGCTATAGATAAAGCCATTGATTTTGCACTATCGACGACCCACGATAGAATAGTTATTTTTTCTGATTCACTAAGTTCACTTAAAGCTATTAAATACTTAAAAACCACTAAAAATGAATTGCTGGGTAATATCATTCGTAAATCACATGGTGCCAACAAATCAATCAAGCTAATATGGGTGCCAGGCCACTCTGGTATCCATGGCAATGAACAGGCAGACAAACTAGCCGGGTCAACTGGCGATCTGGACACTACCATAGTTCGTACAGATCTCAGGTGTTTTGTGTCTCTTATAAAAGCAAAAATACATCTCCTGTGGCAAAGTGAGTGGACCAACCTCCAACTCACAAACAAAGTCAAGCAAATAATAGAACTGTGGGGCACATCCCACAGAAGAGAAAGAAGAGAGGAGGTGGTGTTGGCCCGCCTCAGGGTCAATGCTACGAGACTGACACACCTAAATCCTTACATCGAGAAGAATTTCCCTCCACAGTGCCCTGAATGTAACACCAGTCTCACAATACCACCAGTGGTGTAGCCAGAGCGGGAAGATTGGGGGGGCAAACAGGTAAGAAAAATAGCAGGGGGTCCGGGAATCTTCCCCCGAGAAAATTTAAGACCACGCCCCTTAGAATGCTGGAAAACGGCTCTTTTTAGATGGCTTATCCCCCCCCAATCCCTTGCCCGTTGTTGTCGTGGGGGGGCTTAGGAGGCGGAGACTGGGACCCAATGATGGGGAACTCCCCAACCTTGGGACTCAGCCCTCGACTCAACTAATTATGCATGGTCTTTTTTTTTCCCTTCCCACTTTTGTTTCTGTCCCTTCATCAAACCCTTCTGCTATCCACCTCCTAAGGTGTGAGAGCCGTGCTGAAAGGATGAAAGGCTGACTTTGTGCCAGTCCTGAACGGCCTGAGGGAGCCATGGGCACGGTATTCCCCTGATTTAGTTATCTAGCCCTTACCCCTCAAGGGGACCCTGAGGGGTGGACTGCTTTTATCCCCAACATAATCCAGGCTTCCCATGGCCAGTAATGAAAATATATCCCCACTGTTAGGGGTAATGAGGCTTGCCCCTTTATCAAATAGCCCCAACGAAGTAAACCCACCCGATTCCCCGACCCCAGGCTCTCCTTTGACCACGGCTCCAAACACTGCAATAACTACCCCTTCACCAATGCCTACTAGTACAGTAGCCAACAATCAACCCTCAAGGGACATTTCCACTCTCTCAGCATGCCCAACTTCAACACCTCTACCCCCACAACCTCCAACATCAACCACCCCATCCTCCCTTATTAATACCTTACAGCCTTATAGCCCACCTCTCCATAACACTACCTCCATCAACACTACTCCATCTTCGTCACGCCCTCGCCCTTCTACCACCCCTATCTCTAAAACAATCTTGAATACTCTCTTCAGTGCAGCCAAATGGGACCGATTTTTCGTGATCCCTCCCACAGCTCCCTACTCTAACAACACCCTTCTCTTCCAACAATGCCTCCAAAAACAAGTAGGTAAAGTCTCTTTCCGTAGCCGACCCGACCGCTCCCGTCTTGTAACAGTAACATCCGAAAACCAAGCCATAGCACTAACAAAACTAACTGACCTATATGGTAACCCCATCCTAGCAGAACCCCATCCAACCCTCAATACTTGCACCGGAACAGTCTCAATCTCACCAACAAATTGCCCAATCTATGACAAAGAATGGTCAGATTGTGGAGAAGATCTACTTGCCTGTCTCACAGACTACGATGCAACATCAGTACAGTGCTATTCCATCCCCCCCAGAGGTCATCGAAAGAAACCCACTAACATAGCCAAAATTACCTTCCGTAGACATGACCTTCCCTTTAACGTCTACATAGGAGGAGAATCCCTCCCTGTTCGTCCATACCAACCTCCTCCACGTCAGTGCCAAAATTGTTGGCGTCTAGGACACCCAGCCAAACACTGCCGTTCCACAGCCAGATGCCCATTATGTGCCCAACCTGGCCATACCCGATCTAACTGCTCTGCACAATCACGCACATGTGCCAACTGTGGCGGCCCCCATAATGTATTTTATAGGGGCTGTCCCACCTACAAATTTGAATCTGAGGTAGCAACTCTCAGATTCAAACTCGGACTCACACTGCGTGAAGCCAGACAGGAAGCACGTCGACGTGGATTCTCTCTTACTCCTTACTCCAGTAATACTGCTCATCCTAACACTTCTCCTAAACCCACCCCTCCTACATCTAACCCCCCCACTAACCCCACCTACCTTCCCCTGTCAAACTCTTTTGCCATCCTAAATCCAGAAACTCCAATCTCTACTACAGATACTCCAATCACCACTACAACCCCAACACCTTCCCCTCTCCCTCCTCGCACTCCCCGTAACAGACAGAACAAACGTTCCACCCCCTCTTCCCCTACCACACAATCACCCCCACCATCCTTTGCCCGTACTCATGAGACACCAGTCCTCTCTTCCCCCCCTCACAAGAAATCCTTTATCCCCCAAAACTCCCCAACCAACTCCACAGAAGAAACTATTGAAAATATTCAAGATTACTTAATGAAAACCGACACTCAACCTACAACTCCTGCTCCTTCCACACTCCAAGTAATTGCTGATATCCATCCTCCTCCTAACGATATCCCCCCTACACCCTACCCTCCTACCCCCTCCCAACACAGCCCATTCCCCCTGACCCCAACCCTGCCCACATTAACTCTCCCACCATCCCCTCTATCCCTTCCACTCCCTCCTGGATACACACGTGAATCCCTTATGTCACAAGTATCCCCTTCCTCAGACCCTCCATCTCCTAATACCCCTCCTGATAGAACACCAACTCCCACACCTCTCCCATCTCAAACCTCTCAGTCCTTATCCCACCCTCTAGCTGCTTCCCCTTCAAATTCTCCAACACGTACTACAATCTATATCACTAAATCAACGAAAGTATAACTATCCTTCATTGGAATATTCGCGGTTTCCGCTCCCACAGACCTGACCATCATATCCTTTCCTCTTATAACCCATCTATTGTATGCCTTCAAGAAACCTTTCTTATGCATACCCTTTATCTAATATAACACCCGACCTTAACCCTTTCACTCACTAATTCCTTTGCCCAGCTTAGACAACTAATCACTAACTCAACCACCCTTCACTAACATTAACTATAGTGCTACATGACCTTAGATGTCTAGCACATTTATCTTGCTTTTAACCATTAACCATTAGATGGCTTATAATGAGCTATGCCATTTGTGCAATAAAATTTGTAGGGGGGCCCCCTACAAATTTTATTGCAGATTTGCACTTTTCTCAGAGACCAACTTTCTGAGCATTGGGGGGGGCGGCTGCCCCCCCCCTCGCTACGCTACTGAATACCACACATAATAACAACCTGCCAAAAATACAATAATAATAGAAGAAAC